AATTTGCATAAATAATTCAGTCAGAAATTTTGAAGAAACGAATCACTCTTTACTGAGATAATCAATAGATGCAGTTTATGGGAAAGCAAAAGGTTGAATGAAGATGGTGATTGCAGTAGAAATAAAGAAGGAAGTCGCTGAGAAGCACAAATGAAATAAAAGAGCTTAAATAATTTTGGGCACAAACTAGTACCAGTCACTTTGGCATATGTTTTAAACTAATAAACTGCTTGTTATTTTTTTAGATAATAAACAGATACAAGTTCCAGATTATGCCTTTTAATGTACATTTTTTATTAATGCCAGGATCCTATAACTTTAAGAAAACTCCATTGTAAACTTATCATGAACGGCAGGTCCCAAATTTTAATCATTTATTTCAAAATGGAAAAGGGGAAGATAATTAGCAGTTTATTTTTATATTTCTTCAGGAAAACTAAATTGGCCTATCAAGACTTGAGGCCAGTTTACACCTGTCTGAACGAGCTGCAGAGAGCCCCTCGCTACGACTACTTTGACAATGTAAACGCTCACTTCGTCAAATTAGAAACGTAGGGGAGATGAGTCAGCAAGTCCTTTCTACTTGAATTAGTTGAAAATCTATCTGGGCAGTAACTCCAAGCAGTGTTGGCAGAGATGTTGTGTCCAATTTTTTTGTTGTATCGAAAATGAGGAGATAGCGAGATAAATTAACTGTGGCATTTTTTAATGCATATGCATCTTGTGAAGTGCTATGCGATACTTCACTACCTAAATATATGACCATTGTTTACTACTACCTAAATATAACGTTGATATAACTACTGATCAGAATTAATTTAGGTTTTTGATATTGTAGAAAAAACACAGAAAATTAAAGTACCAAATTCAAAATATTTATTTTAAACATATTTATTTTTTTTTAATTTTCTCTAATCAAAAAACAATTAAATTATGTGTTTTTCAACTACCTAATAAAATAATTCAATTACCCAATAAAATACAGTTTTCAATTAAAAAATAAGTGAAAGGGCAAACATTAATTTTATTTTGTTGATATAAATTTCGAAAAACCAGATTCTGTGGTCAATTACATCTAATAAAATATAATATAAAATTTTGTTTTATAGATTTTCTTTTTTATTTGAACCACAAATTAGATTTTATTTACAAATGATCAGTCAAAAGTATTAAAATAAAAATCTCTGACAGAAGGCATATTAGGCTATTATTGATGTGTTAAAATTTGTGAGCGTTGGAGAGTTCAAGCAAAAGATTAATAATTTTTGTCAACCTCATATACAGAAAATGGCCTCGAACACTTGTGGAATAAATATGCTGATAGTGCATTTTGGCACTCTGAATATTGCAGAGAACTGTAGGAGTCACCCATTCCTAGAAACCGAAGTGCTATTTGCGTTTTAATTTTCTGGCAAAGCATCTCGAAAGACCGTATTGGGGGGGGGAGAATAAAAGGAGAGATAATTTCCAATGAAGTTTCAAATTATCCTTTACACGCATTCTGATTTCTCCCTACCCCGGAACAGAAATTAATTCTTTGGAAATTGTTTTGCAAACTTCAAGCACAGACATTTGCACGTCGGTATCCATTTTGCAAACAAATGGATGCAAGTTGTCAGTCTGCTCTGATTGGTATAAACAATCTGTCGGAGTACAGGTCTGTTCACTCGGTTCGAGATGCTCAACGAGCCCCTCCTCGAAAGTCACTCGAGCTCACTCAGAGAAGTGTAAACCGGCTTTTAAACAGGGTTACGTAAAAGTTGTATCTTTTGAGTGTGTTGTGATGCTGCACTTATCTGTTATAGGCATCAAGTCACACTGGTGAGTTTTTGTTTACCAAAAATGATTAATGGGAAAGTAATGAAATAAATCAAGACTAACAGTCACTGCTATAACTTTTGTAAAATATTGTTATGAAATGTACTGGCGCAGTAAGATGGCTTCCCAGCAAAGCAGTTTTAGGGTTGCCATAAAATAGCAAGGAAGGCAGGGTTGTCACATTTGGCGAAAAATCATCCATTTGGCGACAAAATTGTCGATATGCCATGGACGGATGGAGAACCTTCTGGAATGAATTCTTACCGTTTTAGCCCAGAATGTTCGCGAAAACAAGCTGAAAGCTATATAAACCCTGCTGGTCCGCAGTCGGTGAGTGTATGTGCCTCGAGAGTGCGAGATAGTGTCTCGAGTCGATCGAGTTGACAGTGGGGCAGCAAGTGCTGAGTGGGTCGTTGAGTTCACTGAAGGAAGTCTCTTAGTGTATCGCGGTTAGTGCCTCGTCGAGAGAGTGTGTTGAGTTCCATAAACGACTGAACAGAAGAATCGGGAGCTGTGCTCTGTATGTCGTCAAGTGCATCACGAGTTGTATCGTGCAGAGTCTCGAGAGTACGTGGAGTTCCGAGAACGACCGAGCAGAGTTGGGAGCTGTACTTCGGTGCTTTGCAGTGAAGCTGTCTCTACCGTTATAACCTGATAGTGTGAAAGCTGTGTCGCTGATTGTTCCAGCGTGTTTATAACAGTTCGACGACTGTAAAAGGGATTTTGGAGCTGTCCTGATAATATTGGTAAATAAAGTGTGTTTCGATATTTCATCAAGTGTCGTCGTTATTGACTTGAAATCTATGAACTCTGTACGAACGTGAAGGAAGAAAATAATGCAACAACTGGTGTCGGGGAGGAGCGTAACAATATCTATATGAAAAATTATCTTTTGAGTTTATGTAATGAATGTAATAATTTATGTTTTATATGTAGAGAAAATAAGTAATATCAATAATGATATATTACCTAATTTCTAAATAAATCATGAAACTAAATATTATGCCTAATATTAAATACAAGAAATTAAATAATGTGGAAATGCGGGTTCATGGATTTGGAATGAATAATGACGACACTTGATGAATTATCAAAAAACACTTTATTGGCAAGTATTATTCAAGACAGCTCTAATAACACATTTACAGTCGTCGAAGAACAACTATAAACACTCTGAAAGAATCAGTGACACAGCCTCCAAGCTATCAGGCTATAACGGTGGAGACAGCTTCATGGCAAAAAACCAGACTACAGCTTCCGACTCTGCTCAGTCTTCTTGGAACTCTACGTACTCTTGAGACTCTCCACACTACAACTCGAGATGCACTCGACAATACACTAGAATACAGGTCCCAACTCCTCTCTTCAATCGTTCCTGGATCTCAACACACTCCAAGATCAAACTCGACGATGCGCTAACTCGCGTTACACTAAGATATTCTCTTGATGCACTCGATGACCAACTCGACACTAGACTTCGAGACACTCACTCACACTTTCAAAAATTTATTTGACATTTTTAATTATCTTTGAATTATATCAGATTCTGGAGTTTCACAAAATTTTTAACATACAAGTACATCTGTGTGTGTGCAATTTTTAGTATGATACTTTTCCCTTACGATTTAAATATACTTCTTTGATAAAGACTACAACATTATTAAAATATGTAAACAAAACTTTTATTCCAGAAAAGATTTTTAAAACATTAATTTGCTTTATCCAACCTAGGAAATGGAGATTTAATGTTAAGTTTATACTCTATTTAATTTATGTTTTATCAGAATACTAGAAAATACATTTAGTTAGCAACAATAATTGGTACTTTTCCGTTTCGCCGGCCCAAATCTCGCCAAGCAGACTTTATTGGCGACAACATACAGTATACACATAAAAAATTTTAACAAATGTTAGTTCTAAGATTTTTTATTTTGAAGGCATAAGTATTTTAATAGCGTTTAAAATTTTGTAAAAACCCAATAAATAAGTACAATAAATTTGTAAAAAAGGCGTAATTTAAGAATTTATTATGCTTTCATGGTTCAACAAGCTGATTCGCCATTTCATATCTCATGACCCCAAGTGTTCTCATCTCGTGTAAACTACGTTACAAAAATCTAATTCTCTCAGTAATTATCTACATTAATTTCAAGTTTAATTTTAATTTGGAATACATTTTAAATCAAGAATTATTTCAATTCGTACGAATAGCTTACTCAGAAATTATGTAAAACCGCAGTGCTTTACTTCGCTAGGTATTCTTATTAGAATTGATGAATTTAACCCTTGCCTTGCCTTTCTATATTTTCGCCTTCGAATGACGGTGTGATTGCATTCTGATTGCCTTAATTACCACAATTAGCCTTAGGATAATCCTTAGGCATAAAATTTTACTATCTGATTAAAATTCCATGTAATTGTATGCCAGTATTGAAAGGATTGGATTGGATTATTCAATTATGGCAAAGCACACGAGGGCTATCTGCCTAAAGGGAAGGATGCCTTCATGGAGAACTTCTAAGGGAAACTGCCTCGTATACATGTTACACATGGGGAAAACCACGTAAACGCCCATGCAGCCAGCCCGTTCGCGGGATTCGAACCTTGGACTGAACTACCAGTGTTCAGCGTCTTTACTGCTTGGCCACTAGTGGGCCACCAGTATTGAAAGAACCATTCAATCTGATAAGAAATGGCTGTGACTTGTTTTGAAATTAGGTGTAAAAGGTTACCAGCCAGGATATTCCGTTTGGCGTCGGTTGTACCATTATCGGCATACATTTATCGCATGCGCCGGCAAAACGGAAAAGTACCCAATAATTTTTATGTAGTTTAATGCAACAAAATGATTATCACAGATTATTTAAATGTATTATATTTCTGTGCTTATGAACTTATATTTCTGTTGACATTTATTTGTGTTAAATCTCTAGTGTGTGACATTGTGCCCACATATATAATTATTAATGCATAAAAGAAGAAGAGATGAAAATTTAAAGTATTTCTTCTTTCTTTTGTTCTTTCCTTCCCCCCCCTTTACCTTTAAGTGGGAGAACAAACCAGATTAATTTGCATGGATCTTGAAAATTTGATTAAAATTTTATTATGCTTTGTATATAACCTGAATTTATTTGTATTGTGTAATTGTCAACATACGTTTATGCATTTTTTTTAACTTATAGAATATGCATATTATTTCTTTGCAGTAAATACTAATGTTGGACTTAACAAGTATAGAAACTAATGGTGGCTAGACATTTTTAAATCAAGAGCAGTTAGAGCATCTTGTATTATTTGAAATCATGACAATAGTCATGCGTGGTGGCCAAATTGGCGGAGGTGACTCTCCACAAGAGAATATTCCATTGCAGCCACCAAGAAATAATCCAGTACCTAGTCCAAATGTTGTAAGTTTTTTAAATATTAAATTAATGAAATATGTAATTTTATCAACTGTTTTTGGTAATTTTTATATCTGGACATGAAAATACAAAAATTTTTAAATATGAATATTTGTGTATAAGTCATGCATACTCTGATATTGACATATTGACACAATCATGTTGGTGCAAATTAATGATTCTTTGCAAATGAAAAGTTAAAAGTTAGTTGTTGGCTCAAAGTTGGAAATCTATGCAGCATTTTTAAGAAAGATTCACAGACTGTATCAGTATTTATCATAAATCGGCAATCATTATCAACACATAAAAAGAAAATACACTTTGACAATTTAAAATGCAAATTTTAATAATCAGATAAGGATTATATTGAGAAAACATTCAGAAAATAAAATGCTTAATTTTTTCATGAAATCCTGTAATTTTTTTCCACTGTCCTTCTCTTCATGTACACAGCAATCTATTTTTTGCTTAAAACATTCAGAAAATTGCATTAACTTGGCATCGCACAAACTTCAGCATTATGCACTGGCTATTTACCACATCTCATCTTGTCTCATCTCTCTTTAATGATTTTGCTGCAAAATACTGTATTCCTGCAGAAATTTTACTGCAATTTCTTCCTTTATTGGCAAATTTCTACATGCGCATTAAAATTGGGTTTAAGGAAAAAAATTTCATGATTTGTTGATTAAAAGCTGTTGCAACTTGAAATACAACAAAAAGAATGCATATGGAAATGGTGATATTGCTTTACTGAGCAATTGTTATGTGAATGGTTTCCTGAAGAATGCTTATTTGCATAGTTGCCAGTTTGGCATATTCTGAAAATTTGGTGACTTCTAATGAGCTTGATGGGATAATATGTAAGTACTCATACTTGGTCTGCTTTTCCATTATTGAAAGAAAACTTAAAAAAAAAAAAAAAAAAAAAAAAAAGCTACATTTTGTTATAGAAAATTTATTAAGAGTTTTCTTTTCTTTTCTTTTTTTTTTTGATTCACTATTCAGTTAGAACTAGAAGCTTAAAGACTCAATATCTTTTCTTTTGGATATACCAAAATATTGTACAAGATCATGAATTACCAGATAAAGAGCAAGAATTTATATAACAACTGATCCTGTATAGTCAAAATTGTAAATCTTGAGCTGGAAGGTAAGATATTCATGAAAGATATTGCAGATGTTTAAAAGTATTCTGCCTTGTAGAGACTGTGATTGGATACTATGCTGACATGTGTGTGGCAACAGCTTCAGGTTTTTTTAGTTTCATGTGTCTGCATGTAACTAAAGTAATGTCAGATTGGGAAGCCAGTTAAATTGCATTGAAACAATTATTCTCTCTTAAACATAAATTTGAAAAAGTAATTTTACTCACCAATTTGCTGGCAGCAGTGTAGACTTTTAGCTCAGTAAAGCTTCCTGGATCAACTAAAATTCTGCAATGTTGTGAATTTCTTTGGTTTGTGGGACTAAACAATAAACAGGTTGTCTTATTGTGAATTCCTGGATATTGGAATATTTTTGCTAATGAACAAGCCAACAGACTGTAGAATGTTTTGTTATTTAATTGAATTTTACTATCTTTCTATTTCTTGCAGGGCAGAATTAAGATAAAAGAACAGAGAGACAAGTATGTTGTGGATATTCTCAATTGGCCATGATATGAAGCTGTGACCTAGTTCCGACAACTTATGTATCATGACTGTTTGAGAGAGCACTTTCATCTTATTGGTATCATTGCCATCCTTAGTAAATACACTGTCTGAAAATGAAATCCTAGCACCAAGAAGAAATCATTTTAGAGGAATGAAATGAAGGCAGAACATCTGTCTAGATAAGATATGTATTTGTTTAAATGTCTCAAGGTTTGTGCAAGGAAAAACATTTCAAATGGTAAATAGAGGTACATGAATAACTGCTGTAGTCATAATGATGTTGAATGCAAGCAGTCAAATACCATGCATTGTGTGGTACAGGTGCCATATGTCTTTCTGTAGGATGAAATTCCATGCTTGTTGCACTTTGTCAGTCAAATCAACACTGGTCAGTTCTGATTGTGGATGATCCTGGATTTGTCATCGAATCTTATTCCATACCTGCTCAATGAGAGAAAGATTGGGTGATTTCGCTGGTAAAGACAACATGTCAGCACTCTGTAGAGCAAGTTGAGTGATAGCAGTGGTATAGAAGTAAGCATTATCCTGTTGGTAAATGCTCCCTGGAATATTGTGCAAGAATGGTAGCACAGCTAGTGCCAATCACCAGTTTGACATAAAAATTTGCTCTCAAAGTATGGGAGATAATGACAAGAGTGTTTTTAGACAGAAAATTGCTCATAAGATCATAACTCCTGTTGTAGATTTAACACATCTACACTGCAGATAGCTTGGTTCCAAGCACTCATTTGTCTTCCTTCTAGCCAACATACAGTTATCACTAGACAGCACCAAGAAGCTCTTATCTGAAAACACAACAGATCTCCACTCCACCCTCATGTGAGCTATAGATTGATACCATCAGAGTTACAGGTAGCTGTGATTAGGAGTTAGTGGTACAAACATTATAGGACATCTGACTCGGAGCTGTCCCTCAAGTAATTGATTTGTTATATTTCATTGTGTTACTCTGATGCCAACAAAAGATGAATCCACTGCAGATGCAGTTAACATGGCAAATCTTTCCTTTGAATGAATACAGCAGTCTTTCCCTCGAGTCATATGCCATACATCCCTGTTAAATCTTTCTGCAGTATCATGAAAAGAAAATGAACCCGTAATTACATGGCCTCATTCAAACTTGGTAAGCTGTCAGTACTACCTTTTTTGTCTCATTTTTACTGCCATCTATGCAAATACTTGTAGTTGCCAAACTGAGTTTACTTCCCAGCTATGAGATAACTCATTATTGTTTTCCCTACCTAAATGACTGAATGTGTATATTTTCATAGTAAATGCATGGAATGTTTAGGTATTTCACATGCAGGAAGGGATGCACTACACTTGATGTTGTAAAATAGATAATTTATTTCTCAATATGTACTTAGTAGGTTATTTATTTCTCAAAATTATTACTATATAACTAAACTAAATACTAAAGCAAAATCTTTTTTTGGGGGGGGGAGAGGAGAGGTTTAATCACTTAAGAAATGTTATAAGCAGATTGCTCAAAGTTCTATTATAATTCGGTAACTCATGTTGACTAATGGAAAATAACATATTGCATGTGAGAAGTTTTGCGTGAATGCACAGAAAAAGTGACTATCGTTTATCTAGTTGTCACGAGGAGCAAAAATATTATTTCGTATGCCAGGATATGAGTATACTTGTGTGAATGTAGTTACTACTAAAAGTAATCCGTTATATCATTATTTGAATAATAAAACAACTGAAAATAATTTAAAAGCATAAAAATGCAGATAGGATCTTGGCATGTGTGAATGGACACGCTTCATCTACTTTGGTTATAAACGTGTTAAAGGCATTCTCGACTCGCAAACATGCAAACAGCGCTGAATCAAGAAGATAAAGCATATGAAGTTTACATCATATATATAAAGCAAATGTGATTTGTATGTTCATAGTGGTGCTAGTAGCATTACATTCATTTATCTAGTGTGAAATTTTAATAGATATCTTTCAGGTGTGTAAACACGCCTCCCAAATTTCATTTATCTTGCACAACTCCTTGGTGTTGGGATTCCTTTTCCTATTAGCTTGCTAATATTGCTGTTGTATGCTTGATAATTTCTAATCTTTCAGTTTGCCATCTTTGTAAATGAAAAAAAAAAAAAAATTAATGCTGGGAATGTTATAAAAAATAAGTTTGTGACATAATAAAATTAATGGGAAAATAGTGGGAAGTGCATCTGGGATTATTTTCAGTGGTAATGCAGCATAGTGCATTTCTTCATCAGAATTAATAGTTTTTTTTTAACTATTAGTTGATATCTTATTTTGAAATAACTGTCTACTTTTAAAAATGTTTTAGATGAATAATTACTACAAAAAAATTTTTTTTTCATTTGCTATACAGCAACAAACAAGATAAATTATATTTTTTAATATTTCTGGTTATTTCATTGTATTTTGTGTAGTAAATGCATAAAGTTATTTAATTTTCTTAATCTTCTAACTAGTTTCATCTGCTAACGTCATGTTTGGTCAGAGAAAATGTCTACTTTGGTCACAGAAAGTTAAAAGTTAAATTTCATTGGAAACTTGAATTGACTGTTTTATAAATTTGAATCGTCTAATGTATCTGCTGTCCAGAATATAAAGTTGTTATAATTTAGCAGCATACTCAAGCAAAATTGTACTTTTAAAGAATTTCACAATTAACTTTACCTTATTTTTTATTATTAACAATTATTCATATTCTGAATGGCTTGATTAATTCTCTATAGTCATGAAATTTATCATTACTTTGTGTATGTAACCATGCTATTTATTTTGCTGTTTTATTTTCTCTATGATGAATGATGTAAGTATCATTATAATGGATAAAGGATCATAGAAATAAAGTAAATTAAATAATTATATAAATTTAATGAATGCAGTGCAAATATAGTTGTTTGTGAACAAAAAGTATGACCATTTAGAGAATTACTTACGTAGTGCAGTAGGATTTATGGGGAACTTTAGCAACTGCGACTTGTGTGGCCCCATAAATTCATTTCTAGTAATTCATCTAACAATTCTTGTCATTTTATTGCATATGTGTTTCACATTCCATTCTGTATATTTCTCCATTTATTCCACCAGTCAGTTTTTCACAAAGTTTTTCTTCAGATCTTGGGTTCCCTTGCTCTTAAATATATAAACCTGAAACTTTTAACTGGAATGGCAAAAAATGTATATAAAAGTAATATTGTCATCTGTACCATAAATAAAATGAGGAACTTTTCTGTTGAAGGCATACCATGCAATTTTGGTTTCATATTAGTGCATTTTTGCTTCCACGTGTCTTTGGTTACGATATTGGACATCCTTTTCCCCCTGTGAACCTTTTTTCCCCTTTATTTATGTTTCCCCCTCCATTTACTAAATTTGTATTAAAAATACTTTTAAATGGGAAGGTTTTCATTTCTGTATGTTTCATTACTGAAACTTTCTAAAAAAAGGGGCAGAAGGAGGGTATATTACACAGAAGAAAATTACACAGGGGGGAATACAAGTAAATACAGTATTTTAATTTACATTTGCTTAATAGAATATAACAAAGCATGTAAAGGCAATCTGCCTTTCTGGAAGACTTTCTAACAAGAATTGGAGTAGTTTTATTATGTTTAGTAGAATATTTCAAAGCATGCAAGGACTGCATGCCTCAAGGAGAGAATACGTTTCAGGAAGACTTTCTAAAATAAAATTGCTTAGTTTTAATTTATGCTTGTTTAGTGGTAACAAAACATGCAAGTGCTATATGCCAAAGGAGAGGGATGCCTTTGTGGAAGACTTTCTAAAAGAATTGGCTTGTATTGGCTTTATATATGAGGAAAACCATGAAAGCATTATTATAGCTAATCTATCTGTAAATATTGGAGCTGAAGCAAGCTAGGAAGGCTTTATTCGCTATTGTCAATGGTGGGCCATAAGTTTTCATATAATAATCATATTGATAAAAATGTCATACTAAATGTAATAACTTGTGTATCAGTTTCTTAGTTTCCAGGAAACAATCCGACATGGTTAGGATATTAAAGAATTTTGTTTCTTAAATTCTTTTAATAGTTAAATATTATTGAACATTTTAAATTTTCTTTATAGCTAAATGAAAGTGAAGGAAAAGATCAAGATGAAAGCGGTGAATTACCTGAAGGACATGAACCGGACTTTCCTCTTGCTGATTTAGCTCGTTTGGATGAAATGATTAATCGACCACGGTGGGTTGTGCCTGTGCTACCCAAAGGAGAATTAGAAGTTCTTTTGGATGCTGCCATTAATTTAAGTAAACTAGGTAAGTTTCAAAGCTTTTTGCGTAGTATTTAAAACATATTTGAGAAATATTTCTAAAGCCCTTTAAATGAAACTGTGCTTTGCAAATGCAAATTGAACAATTAATACATGGATTGATATTAGAATCTTTACATAACCAGTCTGCTTAATATTGTATTTTTGGCTAAGGAAAGAAATTGTGTTCATTAAACATTAAATAATAAAGTTATGAAATATAATAAGAAATCTCCAAACTCCCTGTCTTTCTTTATATTGAAAGAGAATATCGAGGACTTGGAAGTGATTAAATGTTAACCTTCCGAACAACCAGTGATTTGTCAGTAAAACTTTGCAAAATTCCAAAATATGCTGTGGTCAAAAGGTATTTTTTTCATTACAGTTCCAAAATGCCTTCCTATGCCAAAATACTTTGTCTTGTTTTATTTGATATAATGTTTTATTGTTTGGACACATTTTCTAGATATAAGTTGTATATATATGTATATGTTGTGGTATATATATACTATATATAATTATAAGATAGATATTGTGGTCAAAAATTTTTGCACAATATCTGCAAATAAGGAAATGAGAAGAGAAATTGAGTTAGCTTGCCAAAAGTTACCAGGACTTTATATATATTATAGCAGTTGTGAGAGCAATACAAAAGACCAATTTGGTCAAAAATTTTTTGCTGTATATATATATATATATATATAATATATATGCACGTTACTAAAGTCATGGGATTATCTCCTAATATTGTGTCAGATCTCCTTTTGCCTGGCAAAGTGCAGCACTTCAACATGGCATGGACTTAACAAGTTGTTGGAAGTCCCGTGCAGAAATATTGTTTGATATTGATATAGACGTCAGTAATTGTAAAAGTGTTGCCGATGCCAGGATTTTGTGCACGAACTGACCTCTTGATTATACCCTATCAATGTTCGATGGGATTCATGTCAGGCGATCTAGGTGGCTAAAATAATTCACTAGACTAGTCCAGAATGTTTTTCAAACCAATCATGAACATTGGCCGAGTGACATGGCACCATAAAAATTCTATCATTGTCATCCATAAAAATTCTATTGTTGTTTAGGTACATGAAGTCCATAATTGGTGCAAGTGGTGTCTAAGCAGCTGAACATAACCATTTCCATTCAATGATAATTTCTGTTGGACTGGAGCACCCAGGCCATGCCATCAAAATCCAAAAGCCTGTACCGTTATGAAGCCACCACCAGCTTGCACGGTGCCTTGTTAATAATGGACTTGACGAGTTGTTGGAAGTCCCCATCAGAAATATTGATTGATATTGGTAAAGATGTCCATAATTACAAAAGTGTTCGATGGTATTCATAATAATTGTCTGGATAAAAGGCACTTGGCCGACTACATGAATACAAGCCACTCGAAATTTATACTGACAGAGCTGGACTGCATTACAGAACACACATTAATAAACAATGAAACAGCAGTTGATTTACAAATTGGAAGGAGTAAGTTACTATTTTTTTTAATTAATGTGCAATATGGTCTCAACTATTAAGAAGACAGCACTACCTATTGACATAAGTACTGCTGCCTTGGCTAATTGTTCATCGGATATATTGCCCATTGATTAACAAACAAGTAGTCCAGCATATACCACGAAAGCCTTCACCAAGTTGTTATTATGCCATTGTCTTCAATCCACTGTAGCTTTTGCCCAGTCATCAAGATATTACAGATTTTTATTCCTGCCCTCCCCTTCAAAGAGAAAAAGCTTGGGAAGTACTCTGATATGCGCCCTGAAGTCGCCAAATTTCTCGCCAAACATTTTTGGCGAGAAACTCCATGTTGCTATATTGCTATCTAAATTTTTTGCCTACATTTCGAACTTTAAGCCTAAAATGTCTCCAAAAACATGGTTTTCGTGAATGCAAAAACCACGTTCTGAACACACAATTTAAGCTAAAAATTTGAAACAAAAACAAAAAATTTAGATAGCAAAACCATAAAGTTTCTAACCAAAATTATTTGACAAATCCATTATACGCGATATGTTTTAATTTAAAAACATCTAATGGCACAATCTAGGCACGAACTAGGCACACCTGCTTTAATGCTAACATAACAACAATAAATTTCAAAAGAACCAGTACACAGCATCCTTTTACTTAAAAAAACATCTACAAATTGGCGCAATTTAGAAACAATGAATCTAAGCATCTCACTTTAATAACTAAATAACACAATAAATTTCAAAGAATACCATGTGTACATTTGTTTCAACTTTAAAAACATCTACGAATTGCACATTTAGACGGTACGCACTAATCAACAATAATAAATAAATTTCAACAATTCAAAAAAACAACAATAACGAAGAAATTATACTAAAAAATCAATGAACAACTTCTAAAATAAGAATAAGAATAAAATAAATGCACTTACCATGATTAATGCTTTTTCGAACAGCAGAAATACCATTTCATACCACTTTAATGCTGCCACGTAATCACTACCTATTTATATGACAGCCAGACACCTATCCAGAAATTCATACTATGGTCGCCAAATAAATAAAATCAAATAATCGCAATCCCTACTTCTATCATGCACAGATATTAAAAATAATCTCCCAGACCCTGTTTCCACACCTCCAAATACCCACTGCCCCTCAACAGGATGGCCACGACAATATTTCCTTTTGCTGAATTTCAATTCAACAACTTCCACCATTTTATCTTTCCCTCCTAGCTTCTCCGACACAGAGCATGACGCAAACCAACGAACTTCACTGAAAGAATTTTCAATGTCAACAGGGTTGCCATGCAACACGCAATCGTGCCCAAAACCAGCACAGAACACATATCGCCACATTTGGTGAAATTAGGGCGTATGTCAGAGTTGTACCAAAGCTTGTCAACAGACAATCCACTTAGAAAAGCATTAGAGCATTAGCAAAACAATTTTGATAAAAAATTTTTAAGTAACAAACTTTTGTGTATAACATTTTTGACAATAAATGCAACTTTTAGAGTAGGATCTTATTAAAATTAGATCATTTTCTCTCCAAATATCATAAAAAGTGTCCTAAAGTTTTCAACAAATAATTGTAAAAGTTCTCAGAAAATCTTTGCTTGAATATCATTATTGATTTGTAGGCCTTCTCTCCAAAATCTTTAGTAAAATTATTGTATTCTGTATAAAACTAAAATATTTATTTTACATATCCGTGAAATTCTGTTATTTACTCATTTTAAAACAATCCACACTTCTTATTAAAAGCAATGTGAAATGGGCTTTACAAATTAAAAGTAACAAAATTAAGTACAATAACAAAATAAACTAATATGGACAGAACCTCTACAAGCAAATCAATGTAACTATTTGCCAATGGCTGTGGTGTGCTTGAATACAGTAGCAAATCAAAACCTCCATTCCTTATAAAAAAGGTACTGGCTTTTAGAAGTGTGTGAGTATATCTAAGCTATTTAATTATGAACTATGGCCATATTCTTCAGCAGTACATACATAGTATAATATACATAATAAACATAAATATACAAACATTCAAATTCAAATTAAGACTAATAACTTGTATATTTAAGTTCGGTCTTAAAAATCTAGTGGATAAAGATTTTGCATCACCTCGTAGTACTAATACTATTATTAACTAATTTACGAGTATTAGTATTAACTAATAATAATAATAATTTTGAAATGTGTTTATTGTGGACCTTGTAAACATTTATAATTCTGTTAAAGAATTGGTAAATTTTTTATTCATTATGATGAGAAAATGATTTATACACATAAAAGCAGTGTTAAAATTAAATTATGAAATAACATTAAAGTAACATTAAAGTTACTTACATAACTAATGAATTAAAATTAGTTAACATTAAAGTTACTTACAAAACTAATAAATTAAAAATTATTTAAAAAATACTGAATTATTATGATTTCAAACTGTAACAATATTGCTCTTCACTCTTTTTCTTCCCCCCCCTCTGTGAACAGCACAGTTTGCTTTCAGAACTAATTTTAGAGACAAAATATAATTAGTTCACCATTATTGATGCTGAAAACCAATTTGATTCACTTCACTCAGAGATATTTAATCAATGAACATAATGCTTTTGACAGAAATTTGAAGCAGGTAAATTTCTCTTGCAGCACCTTAAATAAACACAGATTAGTGACCTTGACCAGTGCTGTATCACCGATTATTTTGAGAATATTTTTTCCTTTCTAAAGTGAGTTTGTAATGCAGCATTTTACTTTACTGAGCATTAAAACTTTTGGACTTGCTGATACTTTTCATTGGAGTTTCACAAGGCAGGTAAAAATCATCTATAGAATAATCTGTAATATCTTGATGATTGCTTGGTAAAGGCATATGTTAGCAAGAGTGGAAAGGAGGAAGTACACATTCACAAGCATGGCAGAGTCAAAAGGTATCTTGATCTGTGATTGGATAAGAGCTGTTCACACTGAAGAGAGTATGAAACGGATTTATTTTGAGAAGACGAAATTCAGAAAAGTATAAACAACTGTTACTTTTAGAAGAGAAAAGGATGATGCACGAATTAAAATAAAGAATTACGGGCTGTCATAAATTTAGGTTGTAATTTTGATTTATATATTTTTTATCTTGCACACACACACACACACATATATGTATATGTTTGGCTAGTGGTCTGACGGTGCAGATTAGACATCTCTACAAGTGAGAAGAAAAACCCGCCATTATTCATAAAAAATTGCTTGGTGAGAAGGAAGAAGAGAATCATTATTTAGCTGATAACTGGATAAAAGACGTTTTACTTAGGCAACTACATGAATACAAGCCTTTAAAAATGTTTACTAACAGAACTAGTAATGTTATTTAAATGTATTACAGAACATTACCAGAAAACACATTAATAATTAATAAGGAAACAGCAGTTGATTTATGAATTGAAAGGAATAAGTCACTATTTTTTATGGGCAATATAGAACCAACTTTAAGGAGTTGGCACTAGGTGTTGACATAAATACTGCTGCCTTGGCTAATTGCTATTTTGATATATTGCCCATTGATTAATAAACAAATGGGCCAGCACAGAACGCCCATAGCTGTGCCAGATAAATGTTGTTACTGCATAAAAACAGCATGGGTTGACATTTTCAAAGCACACATCTGAAGCTTCTTTCTTTCAGTGTTGAGGTTTGTCGCTGAAGTTAGCCATGGCAACTACACCAGATGTTATTTCTTCATGTTCTGCAAATCAAACAAGGCTGTAATTTTAATCAGGTCACCCTGATACCTTTTATTATTTAATCAATAAATAAGGTTTTGATATATCGTGCTCTTCATAGTATTGCATTTGGATAACCAGTTGTATTTATCACTTGGCTAGCTGGAGGGTTTATATACAAAAGTAAATAATATATATGAATTTTATTTTCAAAACTTTCAAATTGTTTAAGACGTATCAGTATCTAAATCTGTTTTCTCTTAGGGACAAATGTGTACAAATTAAACAGTGATTAATTACAATTGAAATGTATATTAAAGCCGATATAATGTTATAATATTGCTGTATATAAGAGTTAATAATTGCTGAACTTTAAACAGAGAAAAAAAGAATTTAAAGCATTATTTCTAGAGATTGTGAAGAAGAGAGGGAGAAAATATTTGCCATGTATTATTTTCATAAGTGAAACTTTATAAATGTGTCATTTTGATTTTACCGAAAGCTTGGTTTGTTAGATCAATTTCTTACAGTTTTAATTTACAATTTATTTTTCCTACATTATATTGTTATGTGCGTTTGTTTCATAGTAATAAACAGAAAATTTCTTGACTACATCTATTATTATTATGAAAAGCTCTGACAAAAAGTAGAGCACCTAATTTGCATTTCTATTTAATAAAAGTGACTGAAAAAAATTATAGTTTTAGATAATGACCTGGAATGATAAAATAAATGTGTAGAATTTTATAAAAAATTTTTATAAATTATGTAGTTAAAAATTTAAGTTTGTATAATTCTGTGCCTTTTATTTTCATGCAGGCATTGATAATCGTAGTGAAGCATGCCAGCGATTCTACAGAGATGGATTAACAATATCATTTACTAAAATTCTCACTGATGAAGCTGTCAGTGGATGGAAATTTGAAATCCATGTAAGTTCTTAATCATTATATTATTTTGTACATTTAAGAGAATTTATTGTATTTTGCTCATTATAAAAAGCCTTGGATTTTTCGTACTTACTGATCATCCACACCACTTTGTTTCTGCATTCAAGTACAACTGTTATTTTTGATTATAAATATGATAATAATCACCTTGCAGATTTTTTCATGTGCGTTTATTTACATGCTGTATATATAACCATCATTTCTCTGAACAGTATCCCCTGACTGTGAGGATGTAAATATCAGCCATATAGATTTTTTTTCTTTTCTTTTCTTTTCTTTTTTAATAAAATCCCCCTTTCTGTTATTATTTACGAATATCATAGTACGTATATGTCATGCGTATAGCCAAACAAACATTTTTTGGTTAGATCATAAAATCAGTTGAGTTCCTGACTATTTGTAAGGCAGAGTATCAGAAAGTACCCCGTTTTTTGGTCTAATCTGTAATTGGAAACAGTAAATTTCTCTTATTATATTTGGTTAAAATTAAAATGGCAAACCTAATATGTAGATATCCTGTAAATATTTTTAAATTTTAATTTATCTTTTGCTTTCAGCATTCTGTTATATATATATATATATATATATGTCATAATAAAAGCACAGGAAAAGATGGAGCACTGTAGATGCGGCTTTTCTGTCGCTACGCCTTTTTCTTTTTGTAGGGGGGAAATATGTAAGATAACAATGTATGAATCAGAATTATAATATAACTATAAACATTAATTCTTCCTCTCTATTCTAAAATCGTAATAACTTATCTGCATTGCATCATTCAAATTAATCATGCGATCTTATGTAACCGTTAATACCAGATGCCTCTTGACGACCAATCACCGAATTGTAAACCAAAACTTTTCTCTTCGCGTGCTTCCATCTTTCATAACGACGCACTTCAGCTTTTGCTCTCTACTCTGCTAAGATGTAATTTCGCTGGCTTGCTTGCTATCCCAACAATATCAAAAATGTGAATCTTCTGTGGAAAGGCACGACTAGAGTGCCAAGTGATTGTGGCCACAAATATCAATTGGGAATAAAAATGGAATTAAAATCGCTTCTACTGCCAAGTTTTATTTACGAAGTCAACACATTAGCTAACGACGCAATCAGATTACTTCCTCATCAATATAGGATAACTACGCATCTACAGTGCTCCGTCATTTCCTTTGCTTTTATTATGACATATATATATATATATAGTCAAAAGTCGTTAATCCGGACTCGTAGGGACTTCGGCGATTCCGGATTATCGATTTTTCCGGATTATAGATCATCAGTTTAAATCTCGTAAGATGGCATGCAGAAATTCTAAAATTAAAAATATGAAACCGTAATTTATGAAATAAAGAACAATTATGATCTAAAGGGTATCAAAATTTACAAAAAAAAAAAAAAAAAAAAAAAAAAACAACTTAATATTTATTTGTTTACTTTATTAAACATTTCTCTCAATGTAAGTTGTTTAAGTTGCTTCGTTTTATGTGATAATACTTTCTCTTTAATTCTATAAACAGACATAATTTCTTGTTCAGTTACAAAATTCCGCTGTTCAAGTCCCGTTAATTGCTGTGCCGAGAATACCGACTAACTTGTCAATCGGAATTTTTTCGTTTTCACTAACCTCTCTGTCACATTCTTCATGTCTTTATCCATTTTTTGCGGCAATTCCACATTTTGTTTGTTGGACATCGAAACATACTTTCGTTTTGTAGATCCTTTGGAAGTTCCAGCATCGGAAATTGTATTTGACATAATCGAAAGTTCAAGTTTACTTTTATAAAATTGCTCTTACAGTCTGCAAAAAATAATAAACAGGATCCAATTTGAAGATTAAGGAACAACACAATCATTAACACTAACTGAAATAGATAATTACATAATTTTAGCTTACACGGTCCGTTATACATTAAACGCGCAGGCGAAAACGTATTCTGCAGTTGCGCACACGCATATGCGCAGTAGTCAAGGTCTTACGCGCACGCGTAAAATGGCTGTGCGCATGTGCCAACGCGGCGCATGCGCAGAAAAGTTTTTAGCTTTGAGGTCCGGATTATAGATCATTCCGGATTATGGGTGTCCGAATTAACGAGTTTTGACTGTATTAAGAACATTGAAATCTATGTCAGTTTCCAGTCTCTTATAAAAGTTATAGTTTTTTAATTATTTTGTATTAAAGCATTTATGAGAAGGCGTAGCAGTTTGTGATATTAACTGTGTTCTGAATTATTTATTAGATATAGAACTATAATATTGCCGAAAGCAAGCAAATTTATGAATTTTAATATTTAACATTTTATTTTGCCAATTATTTCCCAATTCAAAATAATTCTATTATAAATCTCTTAATGTCCTTTTTTTTCTCCTATGACATTTTATTTACATGTTTCAGTGTAATTTAAGTACTGCAATACAAAGTTTGAAATCCAGAATAATCTAATGTTCCGATTTTCGGACCACTAGTCCCTCCCCCTCCTAATAGAAATTTCAAAAAGAAGAATGGAGAATAAATAATACCCAAGAAAAGCAGGTGTGCCATAAAAACAATTTTTGGTACTTTTCCATTTTGTTGGTGCAAATCCTGCTAAGCAGACTTTATTGGCGACAACACACAGTATACACATAAAAGAATATTAACATATGTTAGTTCTAGAATTTTTTACTTTAAAGGCATAAACATTGTAATATTTAAAATTTTTTTCAAATGGTTTTTTCATTTCCCTTTTCCACATAAATTCCGTGTGGTAACTTTTCAGATGATGACGTGTTGTTCTTCTGTGTTTTATTTCCCTATTTGGCGCTACCCCATAGATGTGTGTTATACAGTTTCCGGATTGATAAAATTGTGTTTATTGTTCACATTGAAATGTTCGAAACTTTCCTCTTCCAGGTTTTCAGTGCAGTTTGATTTCCACGAATCCGAATGTATTATAGCTCCTTTTTCAATATTTTCTGTAATTGCTTCTAATATAATAATGCTCATGGATCGGTAGTATGGTCGAAATCTGTAGTATGGATTCCCAGTTAACTTCAGCAATCAAGATCAGAAATCTGTTTGACAAAAAAGCAAATAACTAAATAAATTCATTTCTAAATGTGTGAATAAATCTTATTTTGCGAATGAAAAAAGTGCAAATTATTCTGAACAAAAGTTAAATATTTTAACTATGTTTCTAAGGCATTTTTTTCTTTGGGGAAGGGAAGGCTTCCCAATTTTGGAGCTATTTCATTATATATAATGATATATTTGTTTAATGATATATTATTATGATATATGATGATGTATTATTAAAAGATATTTTGTGATATATTTAAAAGGATTTAATCTTATATTTTTTTCAGAGGTGTATAATGAAAAACTGTGAAAATTTAGTGGAACTTTGTGTTTTAAGACTTAATCAAGACTGTCTACCCCTCCTTGATTTGCTGGCTATGGTGCTCAATCCTAATAGCAAGTAAGTGAAGTTTCTAAATTAATTAAAAGCAATTTGAATGATTTTGTGTTATTTCTAAATTTAAAATGTACTTTTATTAGATTCCACACATTTAATGGGACACGACCTTCTGAAACTGTTCCTACTGGTTCTCAGATACCTGACGAAGAAATTTTTGCCCGACCGTCTGATCTGAGAACTCCAAAGGTAATTTTGTGCAGCAGCCTATTAAATGTGCATTGTTCTATTCATAACATTCAGAGTCCTTTTATAAAATGACTTCCATCATTTAATATTTTTGTTTTTCATATGAAATTTCTAAATGTTTAATTATGTTTAAAAGTTTTTTTAAAGCATTTTTAAACATTTTGAACAGATTTGAGTCTTTTTTTGGTAATGATGCGGTAGGATTGTAGATTCTGTTAGGTTTTCAAAATAGGAAAAATCAACTGTATCCATGCCAGAATTTGAACTCCAGATCTTCCAGTGCTAGCTGGACATGCTACCTCGTACACCATTAGTTCAAGTATTCCTTTTGTTGTGTTCCACTTAAAAGATATTGGTGAGGGATGAGACCCCAGCCAGCGAATCCAGTTGTTAACGAAGCTGGGTACCACTTATGGAACTGTGTGAGGTTTTTTGGAGTGAGAAGCGTGAAGTAAACAGTGCTACATTTTAATTGGATGCCACTTATATAATCTATTAGAATTTTTGAAGTCAGGGAGCATAATAAATCAGCGATGTCTCTGCTGGCATTTGAACTTTGGATCTTCCAATCACCAGCTAGATGGGCTAACACTTGTGCTGTAAAGGCATTAGGAATGGTGCAATTTTTTTTATAGGTTTATTGCAGATTTTTTTTTAAAACATTATTCAAAATATGTGCTTCTGTGTTATGTAACCCTTTGACGCGCGGTGGTCGCGCCCTGAAACCACCATTTTCCAAATTTTTTTCCTCCTCTTTTCTGAAATTTTTGAATGAAAATGAATTGATTACTGATCTTTTGCATCTAAATAACACAAAATGACTGTAGAATCATATATGTTTTAGGTATTAACACTTCAGATCGGATGCCTTTTAAAATTCGTTTTCGATGAGACAAAATAACTTCCTTTTATTAATATAAACAACTTTAAATTTCAAAAGTTAGTCATCGCACATCATGATTTCTATCATAAGCAATAAAAAATTGCAGTAATTAAACTGCATATATAAAAAAAACCCCTCTATATGTATGGCATTTGCTATGTGGTTTCAGGGCGCGACCACTGCGCCACTAGAGCATTGTGTCACAATGCTTACAATCCTCTAGAGGCTCGGTGGTAGCGCCTTAAAACCACTGGTGTTTGCTTCTCAATGGCGTTCGCTTGCTTTTCAAATAGGAATGTTTATTTTTACCTGGATATAGATAAAGAGCTTTGGAACCAAAGCTTTGAACCAGAGCTTTGGTTATTTTATTACTAAAGAATACATGCACCTGCCCAGTAAAAAGGTCTTTCTTTTCCAAATACCTTTCTCTGACATCAACACACTTGCTCCCCAAGCTAGTATTGTGATTTTATAAATTATTTCCTGTGGTTTAAATTTAATGTAAATATTCTTTGCTATAATTAAAAATAGGAATTGCCTAAAAAGTTTTATTTAAATTTAAAATATTTTCTGAATATTTTGGCACGAAATACAAATAAAATAAGTATAAATGGGAAACGAACAATCCGTACAAAGCCAAAAAGACCAACCCCCCCCATTAACATAAAAAACCACAAATTTCATGTGCCAGATGAAAAAAAAACTAAATAACGCTGGACATATACCAGTGAAATTTAAATCCAGTCAGTGTACAGTTTGTAGGACAAGGAAGAAACCTCATAGCAGGGTTGCCACGCTACCTGGAGAACCGGAAAATGTCAGGGAATTCGAAAATTGACCAAACAATTCAGGGAAAAGTCAGGGAATTTAAGTATTTTTGTCAAAATCTGGAAAAGTCAGGGAAGTTCATACAACGATCCCGCCAAAAAAAGCGATTTTTGCGCCGACGTCGGAAGAGATAACTTTTTTGGCAAATTGTGTATCACGTGAGTGTCATTCGGGCAGCTGGCAAGGAGCCAATTTTTGCAGCTCCAATTTGATTGTCTTTTAGAAAGGCAAAGCAAGTTTCCCGCAACTTTTGATTTCCAGTATTCTCGAGAATCGCATGTGCAGTGCATGAACTAAAGAAAGTACCTGTTCTCCTATAAAACAAAATGGGTTTAATCCTAGTATACGGTACCATGGAGGTTAGAATCAAAGCATATGTATTGTAAAAGAAGGAAAACCTCTCTGCAACAGACGTGGCTCCGTTCCATCATAGAGGGAAACATCTGTGCATGCGTGATATATCTATCGCTAAAGCTCGAAACCGGTGTCAAAGTTCGAAGGTCACGTTATCAAGAGTTCATAAAATGAATATCGTTTAAAATTTCTTTAAAACACTTGCGCTAAAAAGACGTGCCACGCACATTGAGATGCTTTTGTCTCAAACCGCGAGCGATGTGAACACCATGTCGATAAGCATTTATCGCAAAAATGAAAATAACGTAGTGCACACGTTGCCTAACAACGAGATTGTTTATTTCTCGAGTTACAGCTCTGGATTGCACTCGCAGATGAGGAGCGGTGTAAATGAGACACTTTACCGCTTGTTATATTGTAGCGCACGGCACCGCAACCGGGAAGTTTAGTCTTAGCGCAAGTGGTTAAACTAAAGGAAAAGAAAATATTTTTTGGCGCAAGTAAATTAATTCATGGATTAGTTATTTTCAGGGAAAAATAAAACTATGAAAATCTGTTTTTAAAATTATTGCAAAAAATCCAAGAAGAAACGTCCTTTGATAAAACATTTCTTCTTGGATTTTTCGTAGCTCTCTTTTTGTCAAAGAACGTTTCTTCTTAACACATGTTTCTCAATTTCCGGTACAGATCGAAGAGGGAAATTCTGGCCGCCAGGTTCCGTCGCCAAATCCCTTGGCAAATTTTCCCTCCGCATTCTAGCGGCGTAATAGCATTTTACTTGTATGGAACCTTTTCTTCTTTACATAGACGTTCTTTGGTTAGAATAATCTTCATGTATGGTACAATGGGATTTGGCGACATGATGATGTGCAGTAAACGGGTCATTTTGGTCTTGGCAACAAGTTTCAAAATCGTGCCAAAGCCTTACCCTATACTAGAATTTTACCGCAAAATCTTTTTAAACTTTTTTTTTTTTTAATAAATACCTTGCCATTTTGCAGTAAAATAAAAAAATAGTAATCAGTCATCTAGGCTAACCATGTAATATTATTTGCTAAAATATTGTTGATTATTCTAATTCAATTTTTAAGTAATTATCTTTATTTTTATGTTATTCATATAAATTAATGTTGCTTCTTCCCTCTAAATTTATTATTAGTAAATAATATTTCCAAATTTCAGGAAATTTTCTCTGGCATAATCCTGAAATTAATTCTAGCAGTATGATGACATACCATCACGAAATTTAATGCACATATTTTTTCCTTATGTATGCTGCGAAATAAATATAAAATACCTCAGTTTATTAAAATAGATTTCTTTCTTTCGTTTAGCTGCAGAATGTCTGCAAAAAAAGCCTTATTTTATTTCAGATTGGGAAGATTCTAATCTCAATCTTCAGTGGAGAAAACAACAACTATTATAATTATATTTGTGTTTTCAAGTGTTAAGGTGCCTTTTAAGAACATATCTCAAACAAATTAAATTTACGTAAAATCTAACCTAACTATTTAGCATTGCATTGTGATTTATAAGGACCGGATTAGCCTCGTCTTGAACTGGTGATGATCATGAGTAATAATTAAATAAAACATACATTTGTTTTCCAATGTATATATCTTAAATTTTATTAAGTTTCTTAAGTTGAAAAGTAAACAAAATTATCGAACAAAGTATACCAAGCATAATTAAGAATAAATGTCCTCTGGGATTTATTGAATAATTAAGTGAATTTGCTACACAATACAATACCATAATTAATTTGCCTCTTAGCACAGCCAACGTACATTACGCGGATAGACTGGAATTTTCTTGAAACACACTTGGAAAACCTATAAATGTCAGGGAATTTCATTCTCCCGTTTGAGTGGCAACCCTGTCATAGAACAAGATGTATGTGCGAAACGTGCAGTGTGGGTTTATGCATGTGCCAAAAAGACAAAACATGGTTTGAACAGTGTCACGAAAAAAAAAAAAAAAAAAAAAAAAAAAAAACACTGACTTCTTTTTTATCCTTATTTCATTGAGATTTTTAATCCATTTATCCAAATGTCCTTATTATGTAGGTACTTATACATTGACTACCAATAAGTATTTGGACACCTATGCAAATTACGATATCTGCGGTCCTGAGGTACGTCACGGACTCCGCCGGTATATATCATCTAGGAAACAGCATCGGCTTTAGTTGCATGCAAGATGCCTAGCAGTTCAGAGCTCTCTGATTTCCAGAAAAGTATAATTATCGGGTATCACAAATGTGGCCAATCCTTAAGGGACATATCTAGCGATCTGAAGTACCCAAAATCGACAGTGGCCTATGTGAAGTGGAAGAAGTGGAAGGTGAGCGGTGATTGTCGGAATGTGTCTCGAGTTGGCAGACCAACGAAACTGGGAGATAGGGACCTACGAGTGCTGTCCAGAAAAATTCGGAAGAACCGCACCCAACTGATGGCCCTCATCCGCGAGGAGTTTCAACAGGCATCCGGGAGTATTGTTTCAATGAATACCATCCGCAAGAAAGCCCATCTGCTTGGTTTTCATGGTCGTGCTGCTGCCCATAAGCCTTTGATTACAAAGTCCAACTGCGCTGCTCGGTTAATGTGGTGCGAAGCACATCGAAATTGGACCGTAGATCAGCGGAAACGGGTTCTTTGGAGTGACGAATCAAGGTCCACCTTTTACTGTTCGGATGGCAAGGTCTGAGTCTGGCGTCTACGTGGAGAACGTCTCCTGCCAGAATGCATTGTGCCAACAGTCAAGTTCGGCGGAGGTAGAATTATGGTCTGGGGGTGTTTCTCCTGGTATGGGCTGTGACCCTTGGTCCCCATTCATGGTAAGCTCAACGCCGATGCCTACTGCACTACTTTGGATGACAATGTGCTTCCTACGTTGTGGCAGTTTTACGCATTGGAGTGGAGTCCAGACCTGAACC